ATACATATATATATATATATATACATACGCACACACACGCACACATTCACACACACACATTCACACACAATCACACACGCACGCACACACACACACACACACACACACACACACACACACACACACACATATATATATATATATAATGGTGGAAATGGATCAGTGCACGATGTAAAATAATAGCTACAGTGTATATTAGAATAAATATGTTTATATTTATATAAAAACAGAATATATATATATAACAATATATATATATATATGTAAAAAAATATTGTTATATATATATATATATATATATATATATATATATATATATATATATATATATAATATATGTATATATATATATATATATATATATATATATATATATATATATATATAACAATAGTAGAATTGTTATATATATAACAATAGTAGTTTAGTCATATATATATACATATTTTGAGACATTTTATACATATAACAATAGTAGAATTGTATATATATATATATATATATAAATAGTAGAATTGTCATATATATATAACAATATTAGAATTGTTAAATATATATATATATATATATATATATAACAATAGTAGAATTATTATATAAATTATAATATTTTATTATAATAGTTTATAATAAAAACATTTTATATCGATACACAAAAACTTTCATGTATCAATACTATGATAGATAACTTGTGATAAAAACTATTTATTTGTGAAATTTAAAAGAATCTATTCCCTCTTTTCAGAAATTAAGTGGGGGGCATAAGGACGGAATTAAAAAAATTACTTGTGGGTATGCCTAGATTAACCAATTAAAGGTCAGATCTAAGCTAAAAAGAAAAATACAGTCGGAGGGTGGTAGTGGAAGGGTTATTTTTTCATTTCACGATATACTTACTCCCAGTCATGTCCACCAACGATTGTATAAAACATGTCAACGTCAAATGTATCATGGATGTAGCCAAGTATGATGTTCTGTTTTGTTGAGGTAGACATAAATTTATTAGAAACATTTTTTTTTAAATTATATTTAGGAAGCTTATTAAAGAGACCAATAGGTAAAATGCGAAATGTGAAACATTTAATGACGATGCTAATTATACTGAATATGGCAAAACATGGCAATATTAAAATTAAATAAATCAAATAAATAAAATATCTGTATGGCTATAAATTAGTGATACGTAATTATTTATGAAAAAATTTTATTTTAACTATATTTTAAGGTAAAAGATAGACAATGCCGGTATAAAACAGTTAATTCATTTCTTTGGTTTGACATAACTTTTATGTTAGCAAATTTTATAATATTTAACTTTTGTTGTAAACACAGGAAACATAGATCATGTAAGGGTTTACAAGTTATAGTTTTTTTTTTAATATTTTCCATTTTAACGTAGGGATTTTGTTAAGTGGATATATGTATATATATGTTATATTTTGATACATAAAAGTATCAAAATATTATATATATATATATATATATATATATATATATATATATATATAATAACATGAATCGTTCATACAAAAATCAAATATAGAGGTTAATGATTTAAATGGCAAGAATACATTTTTGCAAACAATTTCAATAAGGTACACTAACCCCGAAAGTGTATATGAATGATATGATCCCCGTTTATAAATTCCAGTTTCATATAGTCTTTTTTAGTTTTTACAAGCTTTCGTCTGTTCCTACAGACATCCTCAGGTATGGAAATAGATTTGTTCTTGTTTTTTACTTCTCGGTAATAAGAGGACAACGAAAATAGAGATGCAATCCGAAAAAATGCCATGGGAAATGTTTTATTATTTTGGAACGTGCGGTCGCAACGCTGAGTTTGAATTTCAAATTTTAAGGTTGTGCGTTCTTGTACAAATATAGTAATAAGAGAATTCTTTTGTACTGGTAGGTTTTCGTCAATGTGGCATCAACTATATTGTTCAATAATTACAGGAATGTCGCATTTATTATCCGAAAGTTTATAATAAACAGTATTAAATAACATTTAATTTCTAAGAAAATTTCTCGGACATTCAGGCCGGTAAATGTTATTTAATACTGTTTATTATAAACAGAGCATTTACTTAAATACTTGTATCTATAAAAAAGAACGTTAAACATAAAAATGTCTTTAATAAAATAAATTGTCGGACTTTGTCCATTTCTTAATATATATATATATATATATATATATATATAATAATAATTTTAATATTTATATATAACAATATTGGAATTGTCATATATATATATATATATATATATATATATATATATATATATATATATATACCGGATAAATGCAAAATTGGCCAATTGTTAGCTTAAGCTTTGAACTGTTACATCTTAGAAATTATTAAAGGTATCTTACTAGAATTATCCGAGGTTTTTATAACACTATTGGACTCTAATTTGAACAATAAAAATATCATTAACTCTAAGTAGATTCGATGATCTCTCTTGCTGTTTTGACCTCCTGATACAGATTTCCTCACATCTGTTTCCTCTTTTTAAAGCTTATTCACGGCTCTCTTGAATGGAAGCCTGAGTATGAATGTCGATACCATTACTGAAGGCTTGAATGATATATTTCCTTTCACCATTGCTCATTTGGGAAGATATAGTAGAATTGGCATAAAACGATTTTAACGTTCTCTTTCTAGCTGAATAAACTTAAAGAGGTCTTCGGTGATTTTTACGATAAATGGATGGCTAAATGTTTTATTTGAAAACAAGGAAAAAAGGAAATTCAGTTAGTTTAGTTGTTGTTAGATATTAAACATTTTTAGGATGGACAATTATCACATGCTGTTACACGATTTGGAGAATTTTGTTGTTATACTGATATATATATATATATATATATATATATATATATATATATATATATATATATATATATATAATTATTTATTTAAAAATATGATTTCATCGCTACATAAGAGTTCTCATGTTTCAAAGCAAGAGTCGAAAACTTCAATATAATTATGTGAATTAAATTGAATTAAAGTACCATCTTCAAGCGAAATTTTTTATTTGAATAGCTAATTCTTGAAATTTACGCGTTTTATATGCTTATTCATTATTAAAATTAAAATTACTATGGTAACGGCTAGAGCAATTAGTTTAAAAAAAGTGGGGGCGTAAGGGTTAATAATTTGTATCAATATCTCAGTTACATTCAAAGACGTCAAGTCAGGGTAAGGTTGGGGTGTCTAAATTTAAAGCGGAAGATGACATCGTCTAGTCTGGTTAAGTGTCTATGGAGATTTATTTATTTTTTTATTTTATTTTATGTTATTTTTTCCTGAAAGGGTTTTGTGTATATAAAAAAAAACTGTCATAATTCGCTAACATTTATTTTTTTGACGACTTCATAAAGGATTTTTTTTTCTTCTTTTTTTTTTTATTGGGAAGGGCATTTAAACTTTTTATTTAGACTATGGAGTTTAAAATTTTGTATTTATTATTTTATTGTTTGTTTGTTTTTTATGCTAATTATTCAATGCGAAAATTTGCTGATATCGACAAAAACCGTTAACTCACGTCTATTGTTTAATAAATTTTTATTATTTAGAAACTTGAATAGAGCACTGTTTTTAAAAATAACAAAAATACTAAAGAACTTTAGATTATTTACCTAACGAGTTCTTTGCTATTTTCTATATATTTTCACACACACACACACACACACACACACACACACACACACACACACACACACGCATACATATATATATATATATATATATTATTCAAATTTAGGTAATCCGTATGGGTAGACCTGAGGAGGATGATATCCAGAGAGCTCAATGTAAAATTCAGAGCAGATATGTTTGAATAAAAAACCGACCACGTTAAGATTCCATGTGATAAGCTATTTCACCATAACCCCTTTAACAGGGTTCTGGATCATCAGAATTTACTTCCAAAAGCTGAAATGAAAAATGAAAAGAAATTCACACGTTCTTACGGACCTCATCAAGTATACGAAGTGAGGAAGTGAGGTGGGAGAGAGGATATGAGTGTGTCATATGTATCATTTTAGTTTCCTATTTTAACCCCAGTGTGTCGGCTAGATGTTGCTCAAATTTAACGCGTCTCGTCTCTAGATATAGATGGTTAAGGGGTGAATGATAAGAACGACATTAAAGGAAGACGTTACAACAACCCCAATAAATTACACGGCAGGTTTCATTCAAATTCTTAGACGCTGTCAGTTCGCGTTACTTTAACGTGCATATTTGGGAGGTTAAGGTTTGATAAATATCTAAATGTTAAAACAATCTACGAATAAATTAATTTGAAATTCGATGGAGTTTTGGGTATTTTCTATGAACCAGTCGATTGGAAAAATTCATACACAGAACATTGAAAGAGCAATCCATTTTATAATTAGTAATTTTTTTTTTTTTTTTTCAGTTTTTGGAAGTAAAGTCTGATGATCCAGAATCCTGTTAAAGGGGTTATGGTGAAATAGCTTATTACATGGAATCTTAACGTGGTCTGTCTTTTATTCAAATATATATATATATATATATATATATATATATATATATATATATATTAAAAATGCTCACAGTTCGGTATAACTCTGAGTTTCATGCACGTAGTAATCTGCAGGCAACAAATTAAAATCTGACCGATGTAATATGTCAATATTTATAAAGCTACTGGCAAGCGAGTTAAGAAGTCCACTAAGATATGGACAAAAAAATGAAATGTTAATAAAATGAATGGATTAGAAATGTTTATTAATCAAAATCATTTCTTTTCTTTTTTTTTTTCACTGAGAGTTAAAAGAATTAAATTAGATATAAAGACAGTAAATCATTGATTAAATAAAGTTATGCTTCCAAAAACCTAATTTTTCGTACACAATCAGTCGGCGAAATTATTGTGTTGAATACAAAAGTTTACTTTATTGAAACAATTTTGCTAGTGACACTGCAGACACTCGTGGTTCACATGTGATCCGTGGGCCGTATTTTGTACACCTAGAGTGAAAAAGAAAGAAAGAAAGAAAGAAAGACGGCCAAGAAATTAACAGGCTAAGATAGATAGATAAATAGATAGATAGATAGAAAGAAAGAAAAAAGAAAGAACAGACAAAGATTCCCTCATTAGAAAGATGGATAAAATAACAGACTTTAAACAATGAAAACTCTAAACTGAGATAGATAGATAGATAGATAGATAGATAGATAGATAGATAGATAGATAGATAGAACAAGCTAAGAAAATTCAAAGAAAGACAGTCAGAAAAAAACAGACAGTGATAGATAGATAGATAGATAGATAGATGTAACAGACTAAGATGAATTGATAGAAAGAAAAAAAGAAAGAACAGGCAAAGATTCCCTCATTAGAAAGATGGATAAAATAACAGACTACGAAAGAAAGAAAAACTAAACTAAGATAGATAGATAGATAGATAGATAGATAGATAGATAGATATCACAGACTAAGATAGTTTGGGGGAAAGAATGAACAAAGATTTATCATCATTACAAAGAAAAAATAACATACTAAGAAAGAAAGAAAAAATGAGAGACCAGACGATATCTATCTATCTATCTATCTATCTATCTATAGCTAGCTAGATAGATAGATAGATAGATAGATAGATAGATTTTCCAAAACGCGTATGCGTAGTTTAAGCTAGAGTTTAATCTGTTTGTTACGTCGATTAGTTGATCTTTGGAGGTAGAACCTTTTCTTCTTTTTCTTTTTTCAAGTAATCTAACAATCCATTGTCTGCAATACCCCCAGTGGGAACATTGATTTCTTTCTGTGGTGCCTGGATCCGTCACTCACTGTTTATAAGTGAGACTTTATCTTGAAAAAATATGGCTCTCGAGGCAGCCGAGAGAAAAAGCCTTCAATTATGACGTTAATAACAGATACAATTCACCGGCTCAATATAATTTATTAACTAATGAAACGAATCTCTGAGCGCTGTCTCTATTGTGTAGCGTCAATAAATATATGGAAACTTTTATTTACATTGTTCGGGCTGTTGTTCTCATATCCGTTGACATATTCACAACGACGTGATTGGAATTTGGAGAAGAACACTTTATTTCGTCCACCGGGGTAGATTGTTCGAGTTCCATGCTTCACCCGGATGTATCAGTATTATTTATTTCCATTTAACTCAACTCTCCATGTTTCTGTACACCTCAGCTGTAGCGAGGAATGGAACTCACAACTCTTTGGATCAAGTCATTTGATTTAACTAATGCTTTTATTCACTGGACCATGTCCTTGAGGATCTGAAGAAGTTCCAGCAACTTCCAGGGCTGAAACGTCATGAATATGACAACGAAGATGAGGACAACAGTCCGAACAATGAAATTAGTGTATATAATTACAATACGTCATCTAATAAATATAGACAGATATTGATGGACACTTTTGTATAAACATTACTACGTACATAAAACTCAGAATTGTATCGAACTGTGAGATCAATGTATATTTATTTTTAATATATATATATATATATATATATATATATATATAAAAAGTTGCAAATTAAAAAATAATAATGTTTTTTTATGAAAGTATTTACTTATTTATATATATATTTGATATTTCAGATTGACCTCAATCTTTCTTCTATTGGAAGAAAGATTGAGGTCAATCTGAAATATCAAATATATATATAAATAAGTAAATACTTTCATAAAAAAAAAACATTATTATTTTTTTAATTTGCAACTTTTCTATATATACATATTAAGAAAGTATACGTTTTCTCATTATGCTATATATATATATATATATATATATATATATATATATATATATCAGATATAACAGCAAAATTGTTCAAATCATTAGCTAAATGAAGACACCATTGCTACTAATGTTTTACCATTATGTGGAAGGTATTTCTGACCCACCCTATATAAGTTCATATTGGACATAAAGTGGGGGATCGCTTTTCTATTGTTATTAAGTAATAAACAGACCCCCCCCTTGAAAATACCTCCCACAAATGGTAAGACATTAGCTAGCTGAAGACACCATTGTCACTAATGTTTTAGCCTTATGTCGGAGGTATTTCTAATTCACCCCGTATAAGTTTATATTGGACATAAAGTGGGGGATCGATTTTCTATTGTTATTAAGTAATAAACTGATCCCCCTTGAAAATACCTACCACAAATGGTAAGTCACTAGCTAGCTGAAGACACCATTGCCACTAATGTCGTACTATTACGTGGGAGGTATTTCTGTCGTGCCCTGTATAAAAAGATGCCTGTGAGGGCGAGAGAAAGAGAGAGGAATTGATGAATAGATGGAGAAAAAAGATATGTTTAAGACCGATAGAAGAACGGTCTGAATGGAATGGAAAAGGTGGTTGCAAATTGTCAATGCCGCTCGCAATGTTGCCAGGTGAGCTGTTTTAATTAGTTTAATTATCTCTTAATTAAAAGACAAAAATCTCCCTAACTGGAAGCATCAATTTGATTTCAAATCAACATCCGAATATCTCTTTTTTTTTTTTTTTTTTTTTATTGAAGATATCGGGCTGATTTCTAATTTCTTCAAATTCTTCCAAGTTATCTGAAGGAATTAAATCATTCATTTTTTTTTTTCGGAAAACTCTTGGCGAGTTAAGTCTGTCGTACATAAAAAGAGTTCCCAAAGTTAAAAGGATAAAAGGCCTATTCTTATCTGTTGCTTTTTTTTTTATCCAAGTTGTTTACTAAAGGTTGGAGAAGGGTACTTACTCTCGAAGACACAAAAGAGGCCATTATGTGATTGAGAGCCCTGGTCTATTTCTTTCTCAACAAAGAATGAACTGTAGTGTAATCGATCCTGACTTGGCAACTTGATTTCAGCCACTGTCTCACTGACGTGACGTGGCTTCCTTCTGTCTTTTCTACAAATATTTTCATAACAACTGCTCCAACAAGATTTCTCTCTGGTGCTTAGACTATATTAATTTAATCGTACTAATAGATTGGCATCTTGGTCTCAAAGTTTTATTCTGGAAATAGCTAGACGAAACCGCCATATCTACTCCAATATTTTCTTCTTTCTTTTTTTTTTCGCACTTCTTGTGGAAAACGCTTCCTTTTACTTCCTCCCGATGACTACAATCTTCGATCGCCATCTTCTTTCTTCTTGAATCTCTTCATCCTTTTCCAAGGTTCGTAAGTGAATGGAATGGATTCGACGAATTCGAACTAGACTTCCAATTAACTCCATGACATTCACTGACGTGCTAATACCCTTGGAAAAGGTATGAATCCTTGTCTTCTCCCTCCAGCTATGGGTAAATAGCAGGGCACACCGGGTTCTATAACCTTGGATGAAAACTGGTCTACCGAAGAAAGAAATGGCAACCTACTGCAGGAAAAAACTGCCTCGTCAGTCATGTATCAAAAGATAGATGATCGCCTAAACGTGTATCATGCATGGCACATAACTAACTGTCAATCCTCCCTATCACTCAGTCTTTTCTCTCACTTTCACTCTCTATAGGTTCCTGTATACTAGTGGCATTCCCGCCTTGCTTGCTTGGAGTAAAAAGATTAAAGGAAAAAAAATCCGAAAGTTGATGCCTTGATTCCATAATCTTTTCTCGCACGTCCCACCCGTGGGACACGCTTCCGATTTCTTGCTTCCCAGATTACAACAATCTTCCAAAATTTAAATGCCACGTCAATCGCCATCTTCTGTCTTCTCGAACCCTGTTCCTTTTTTGACCTTTCCTCAGTTCTCTCTATTTCCCGTTTTCTCATTTTCTTTCACGTACACTCCTTAAAACCACCTGCGTCTTAGTGGCATTATCGCCTTGCTTGGTGTGAAACGATTAAAAACCACATTTGTATAAAGGTGGAAAATATGATATCAGAAAGGTCTGAAAAAAAATCGATTAAATCTAAAAGAAAAAATGCTATTATATATTCAATTTTTAAAGTTGGAATTATGTAATTGGAAGTTTGCTAAAATCACAGAATCATAATATTATATAAACTTCCAATCTTACGAATTTGTATTGATTCGAACTCGATTAGTAAGTTAAGCAGAGTAATAGGCCACAAGTTAATCCCGTGAGACAATTTCTTCTTTATTCACTGATTGACACACATTTTTGACCAGTGTAACAAGTTTCATCACGTTTTAGTTTTGATATAATGAGTTCGATCCCAGTTACATGAAGCGCATTTGTTTTCTTAGTACCTGACTCAAACTTAGTAAATACATCGTATATCTTTCTAACTAAAAGTTTAAACAACTGATAGTGTTAGGAGAGTGCACTGATAAACCGTTCGGCTGAAAACGAGTTTGCTTAAAAAAAAAAAGGAAACTTTAATTTAAAATACAGTAGAATCTCTCATATCCGGAATCCCTCATATCCGTAATCCCTCATATCCGGAATCCCTCATATCTGGAATCCCTCATATCCGGAATCCCTCATATCCGGAATCCCTCATATCTGGAATCCCTGATATCCGAAGTGTATCGTATCCGGAGTGTAACGTATCCCGAATCCTGCATATCCGGACATGATTTGATGTGCATATTTGAACTATTTGGGTGATATGTAACGGATTTAAAGTTTCTGTTTTTCAGGAAATTTACTTTGGATAATTGCATTTGCTTATTTCACCCTAATGGCTTATATTGGCGTAAAAGATGGTGGGTATAAGTGGAAAACGAGACGCATCTGCAACAAGATAGCGACGAGTTACAGGATTGTGATGAAACCTGGACTGAAATTGAAAAAACAATTGAATAAGTTGTCAGTTTTATGGAAAGAAAGCCAGCATCCAGCTATGACGATTCCAATGACGCACGCAGAATTAAAAAGTGTCTTTCGTTTAAAAAAAAATTCAAGAACAAAAGCAAGACGAAATGCGGAAAATGTTGAGAATGACATTAGAAGAGAAAGAATCATCATGCAACAGCGATTAAAAAATCCACGTTACATTTTTTATTTTTCATACGTGGCATATTAAATTTAATGAATTTTCATTAAGATGATATAATTTATTTCTTTTTCCTTGAAATCAATTCCGTTATATTTCAATCACCATTAGCTTATTTTGTTTACTATAAAATATTGAAAAATAAATGTTAAACCTGATTTCAGTTCTTTGATTTTAATCTAAATATAACCTCTCATATCCGGACTTTGTAGCTGTTGTAACTTAGGGAAGATTACTGAATTGAATAATCAAATGAATGTTGGTAATGAACGATAATACTTAGGACAAGAACAACGCATATAAGATTCGCCGGCAGCGCGTAGAAATAGACAACTGCTAAAAGTGAGTCAAGTGAATTCTACAATAAATCTCCAACTGAAGGATATCTACCAACCGCCCTACGCAGATGAGGCACAAGGCCAAAAATTCCCCGTATACCCAGTATAAAACGGGGTCGGGTAGCTGTTTCCCGAGACTAGATTCTGTCCTTCAGCATAGCCTCGTCTGGCCTTCCTCTTTGTACAGAGGCAGAGAGTTTGACCAGCACAGCTAGAGATATCTACCAACCGCCCCACACAGTCAGATGTGGAACAAGGCCGAATTTAATGTGGTGTATCAGAGCCCGTAGGCTCGGCCAAAATTTCCCGTAGACCCCGTATAAACGGAGTCGGGTAGCCGCTTCCAGAGACGAGACTCTGAACTTCGACCTAGCCTCGTCTGGGGGTCTTCTCTGTACAGAACCAGAGTATTAACATAGGACAGCTTGAGACGAATCTCCAACTGTAGGATATCTACTAAGCGCTCCACGGCCGAATTTAATGGGTATCCAAGCCCGTAGGCTCGGGCAAAAATTCCCGGGTAGCTGTTTGCCGAGACGAGACTATGCCCTTCGACATAGCCTCATCTGGCGATCCTCTCTGCCTGGCGGTAGAGAGTTTGACCAGCACAGCTAGAGATATCTACCAACCGCCCCACACGGTCAGATGTGGTACAAGGCCAAATTTAATGTTGGATATCCGAGCCCGTAGGCTCGGGCAAAAATTCCCGGGTAGCTGTTACCGAGACGAGATTCTACCTTTCGACATAGCCTCGTCTGGAGATCGTCTTTGTACAGAGGCAGAGTGTTTGACCATCACAGCTGCATTTGAATCTCAAACTGCAGACGAACATACAGTAGTTACTACTGTATTTATGTGAATGGAGGTATACCCATTATCGTGCGTAGGTATTCTACAACAGTAACCAATCCCTCATAATCGGAAGGCCTTTTTAGTCGGGTTGTTACGTATTCTCCTGTGTTTCAAAACGATTTTAAGATACCTTCCAAAAATACACATAAACTTCTTTGTACGTGTAAAATCTTCGACAACGCCCTTTCTTCAACAGCTTATGATTAAATCTCGATTTTAAGCTTAAATCTATAATTTGCCAATGTTGCTAATACTCAAATGGATCGTGACAAAACGCTTGACTGCCTCTTGCGTTGTTATTACAAACATTCTCTTGTGATATCATTACACGCTTGTTCATTTTTAGGCATATGTGTGATCGAACGTTCACTCATGACTCATCCAATGACAATTAATTAAAGCCTATGTAACATGTGTTGTGGGCTTTCCTTTATCAATTTTCCTACCGTTTTCCTATCATCACAAGCAGAGCAGTTTTTTTCTTTTCCTTTTTTTTTTCCTGGGATTAATTTTCTTTTTAGTTGTCTACTGAAATTTAATTTTTTTTCTTTACCAAAAAAGCATCGTCTCCGTTTTTTTTTGTTTTTTTTTTACAACCAATCCCCTCCATCAAACCACATTAAAAAAAAAAAAGAAAAAAGAAATTCACCCTATCACTAAAAATACTGGCAAAATTAAAAACGACAAAGTATATAAAAAAAAAAAAAGTTTCATAAACTGTGAATTCAGTCGATTCGGTTTGTAAATACATCAAGCTGTTTGCTACCAAGTTAATTACCGCTAAAATACGGCCATTATTCAGTATCCGAAAACCCACATCCGTTATCCGAAATCCAATATCCGATATCCGAATTATCTTAAATAAACATAACGTCCAGACAATCCAAGATGCATCAGTTCGGATCGTGTCGTGATTTATTCTCGATTAAAATCTGAGCGTGTTTGTAAACGTTTAAATTAGAAAGTTCAAAAGGAGTAGAAGGCGTCTCTTGAGGGCGATATAGAGGAGGCTTTTGTTTCTGCTGCCGACGGCTGAGGTTCAAATTCGATTGGAAGCAAATCTGAGTTCTCGACGCTGAATTACATGGGAAGCAATCTGCATTTTCTCTACAAGGCAAACTTAATTTGTTATCACGATTTGTTGATTTCAGTCGATTTCTCTAATTCTGTTTCGATCAGTCTCACACAAGTTTTTTTTTCGGTCACAGTATATTCATAAACACGCACACAGACTCTCACACACACATACACATACACACACACACATATATATATATATTATAATATTTGTATTATAATACATTATAATAAAAAATTTTACATAGCTACACAAAAACTTTCATGTTTCAGTACTAAGATTGTACTTCGTCAGGCGATGGTAGATTACTTGTGATAAAAATGATTTATTAGGGAAATTTAAAAACAAATCGTTACCTCTTTTTAGAGGTTAAAGGTGTGTGGGGACATAAGATCAGAATTAAAAATATACTTATGGGTATGTCTAGGTTAACCAATTAAATGTCAGATCTAAGCTAAAATATAAAAATAAGGTAATTTATTTTTGCATGTCAAGAAAACTGATGTCATGCAACTATTCTGGGGAACATTACAGCGTCAAATGTATTATTGATGCACCAAAAACTATGATTTTCCGATTTATTAAAATAGATATAAAGTTATCAGAAACAATTTTTTTTTTAAATTTAAAAAAAATAATTAATTTACACAGAAAGCTTCTTAATAGGGCCAATATGTAAAATTAAAAATGTGAAAACATCTATATACGTAGCTAATTATACTGAATGAACGGTAAAACAGCAATATTAATGTTGAATAAATCAAATAAATGTTGGGTGGACCATTATATACTAATAAAATAATGGCGGTTTCATACTTGAATGCAATCTTCAGGCCCCGTCCTTTGTGTTTTGGTACGACTATTTCTATATGCTGGCCAATGGTCCATTATGGGGAGCAAGGTCTATTGTATTATCACGACGTTTTTTGGTAGGCAGCAATTGTAATACGTAATTATTTCTGAAATTTTTAAAACTATATTTTAAGGTAAAAGATATACAACTCTGTCATAATACCGTTAATTCAGTCCTTTGTTTAATAGATCTTTATTTTTAGGGAACTTTATAATATGCAATTTTTCTTGTGAACATAGGGGACATGGGTCATATAAGATTTACAAGTTCTAGTTATTTTTAATATTTTCCATTTTACCGTAGGAGTTTTGTTAACTTCTTTTAAGTGCCCAAAATATTTAGAAAGGAACGTTCTGTTATATATATATATATATATATATATATATATAATTATTTATTCGAAAATTATGATATAAAAATGTCACAAATTCACTACAAAAATAGACATTTTGTTTCAACATTTCTGGTGTCTTATCAAGTGATAAATGTGTTGAATGTAGAATAAAGGGTTTTAAAACGTTCAATCATACAATGCGATTTGAATCTTTTAAAACCCTTTACTCCGTATATATACCAATCCTATACTTGGATATATATATATATATATATATATATATATATATATATATATATATATTTGTGTATTTAAGCAGCAATCTTTCTTTCATGCACATTTCATTGAATACGACAGACAAGGTGCTTTTATTTACTTTTTTTTATAATTTTTCATGCAATCTAATATTTTTTTTTTTTTTATCATCCGAAAAGAAAAAATTATTAGATCGTATGAAAAATTGTTTAAAAACTAAATAATAATTGTCTGTCGTATTCAATGAAATATGCATATATATATATATATATATATATATATATATATTAAGAAATGGACAAAGTCCGACAATTTATTTATTAAAGACATTTTTATATTTAACGTTCTTTTTTATAGATTGGTTTATTTAGTAAATGCTCAGTTTATAATAAACAGTATTAAATAACATTTACCGGCCTGAATGTCCGAGAAATTTTCAAAGGACGAATATTTTTTATGAAAATTTCTCGGACATTCAGGCCGGTAAATATTATTTAATACTGTTTATTATAAACAGAGCATTTACTTAAATACTTGTATCTATAAAAAGAACGTTAAACATAAAAAATGTCTTTAATAATATATATATATATATATATATATATATATATATATATATATATATATATATATGATAAAATATAGTTATATTGTATGCTATATTTATGGGTAGAAATGTTTAATATCAGAGACAGTACGTATTTAAATACAGAAATAGACACTGAAGTCACCACCAAGATGCGACTGTCTGTTTTATGTTTGAATACACTCTTCAGGACATTTCCCTCGTGTTTTGGCTCGACTATTTATATATGCTGTCCAGTGGTGCATTATGGGAAGCAAGGTCTATTGTATTATCATAACGTTTACTGGTAGGCATTTACGCCTGTGTTTCAAATTATTCTCGAGGCTATTGAGTAGGAATAATTTTGGTTCTGAATGCGGTTATTTGTGGCCTTTTTTTATTGTGTTGTCTGTTAACATTTTAGTCGTTATTTATCATAGATTACTTAAATATTTCTTTATTTCTATTATGATTTCCTTTCCTATGTTTTCTGGTGTATACTCATTTCTTTCCGGGTCCTAACTACAGAACTAAGGCCAGAAATGGTATAATGACTTTTTCCACTGAAAAGTTTAAAAAAAAAAATTAACGTATATTACATAAAGCCCTTCGTAAGGTGTTGGCTGTACATGTGAGAACAATATTCTTTGTATTTCTTTAAGGCATGGGCCATCAGAAAGTTCTTCAATGAGTCTATTGTAATAGTTTCCTATCAATCCGAGGCCTCCAACTACAACTAGAATTGTTGATGTCCTCATGTGCTACAATTTTGAGATTTCGATTTCAAAGTCCTTGTAGTTTGATAGTTTTTTGAAGATCTTTAAAATATACATAACAATCTGCAGGGACTGCCATGTCAATAAGAAAGCACATTTTGTCTTTGCTGTCTCTAATCACAGTGTCTGAGTGATTAGTTTAAAATATTGTCATTGTCTAAAGTATGTTACATTATCTGTGTTGCATATAGTGTATATATATGCATTTGTCATGATGGTATTTTCTAAGCGTTTTTAGCTTTCGATTCTTAAGTATCGTAATAAGCATTTGTTTATGCATCTGCATTTTGCGATAAATTCTGATCGTTTCTTTAGTAATTTGTGCTGCTCTGGGAAAGTTTTAAGAACTTATCTTCTCCTTTAGACAAAGTTTACAGTTTTGGGATTTATTGTTGTAAGCTTATGCTGTTACAGCGAAGAAAACGGCGACTTACCCCGTCAAACCAAGCGAGAGTGTATCGCGTGTATCCTACGACGGAAAATGTGGCGAAAAAGAAAATTACTTACCAAGAAAAAGGGTACGTATTCCGCATGATAAGCTGAAGACGGAATATTTTAGAAACAAGTCAGGCGCAGGAGTCACAATAAAAGTATTTTGATATGCAAAAATTGAGCGTCCTCTCCCAGTTGTCGATTAACGAAAAACAAAATGCTCGGCCGATAAAAGCAAAAGAGAAAATAAAATTCGGGGAATTGGTCTACCGCGTTCATTGCATGTCAGTCTTTATGTTGGTTATTCCCTTAAAATTTCCGTACGTTACATTGTCTCAAAGTAAGTGTGGTTACGTCATTTAATTGCTGTTTTGTATCCATTGTTCCTATATTGTTTTCTGTGACTTCTTTTTGTGTTTAACCGGTTTTTCCAACTGGTGTTGTCGCAGCGCCAACACTACAGCGCAGTTCCAACTCCAAGAAAAGACACCTACGCCAGAAACCCCTTCGGTGTGGGCAGGTGATAAACCAACTCAAAAGGGACCCGAATATTAAAAGGGACTCTCGAAGAAGTTTGAACATTTTGTGAAGGAGAATGAATTGGTACCGGTGCCAACTCTACCGGAAGCGGTGAACACCAAAACTATCTCTTTGGTAACTACAGATGTCAAGACCCGCAAACTGATTGGAGTTAACAGGGACATAAAGAAGGAAGCTATTAAAAGCCTGAATATTGGGGCTAAAGTTTTAGCCCGAAGAAGTAGTGCTATATGGGATATCCTGCTGGCATCAGAGGACACAGCTAAGTCACTAGCATATTGACAACGAAGTCAGTGAGGCTCTAAACGGAATACTTTGGAACAAGTAAAACAAAAGTAACTCTGCATGGAGTTCCACTGTACATTCCACTCGTTAATATGGGATTTTTCTTTTCGAAATTTGGCGAGGTGGCCTGTGTTTCAGCCGTCAAAAGTAATTCCGGGATATCTACTGAAGACGTGGAAGTCATGATAAAGGGTACCAGGAAAAATGTTTTGGCTATGTGGAACACACCTATTCTATAGTTAATAGATTCTCCCACCTATAATAAGTAGGAGTAGTAAGAGTAACAATATTTACATTAGTCGGACTATTGTCCTCATCTTTGTCGCCATATTTGTCACAACGTTTCGGCCGTTGTACGCTCCGGCCTTCTTCAGGTGGTTGGAATTTCGAACTGAACCCTTTATTTCGATCGCTGGGGTAGACTGTTCTAATTCCACGTGCCATGTTTGATGGATGTCAGTTATCAGTTATCTCCTGCTAATTTTCCCTCTGAAAGTTCTCCACTGCCTTAACCAGGAATTGAACTCACCTTCTTTGGGTCTGTCACTGGATCTAACCAACGCCTTTATCCACTGTGCCATGTGTCCTTGAGGAAAATTAGCAGGAGATAACTGATAACTGACATCCATCAAACATGGCACGTGGAATTAGAACAGTCTACCCCAGCGATCGAAATAAAGGGTTCAGTTCGAAATTCCAACCACCTGAAGAAGGCCGGAGCGTACAACGGCCGAAACGTTGTGACAAATATGGCGACAAAGATGAGGACAATAGTCCGACTAATGTAAATACTGTACATAATACCTCATCTCAGAAATATAGACAAACTCTAAGAGTAACAAGTCAGTCGGCAGTGAGTTGGTCAGTCAGTCGATGTCGGACGACCGTTAGTCGGATATTAAAGTATCAGCCACCACAACTAGATTGCTGCGTCATTACCTATTATATCAAGTTCCTAACGTTTTGTACGTGGAACCTATTTTAGGACCAACTTAGTACAAATACAAGCCTCCACTACATAACAACTTTGGCGACGAGGGATTCGAACTTATACGGAGGAAGAAAAACCTTTCGTACTCTATAACACTATGCCAAATGTACTCACTTGTAAAGGACGTCCTATCTACGTGACTGTTGAAGGTCGACGTCCTCTCTGTTGGTCCTGTAGAGCTGCCGATCATCTATCCACAACGTGTCCTGGGAAGAGACATAGATGTAGCTGCGATCCAGGAGACAAACTTTGTTTGCGAATTTGATGCGTGTGTGCTGTCTAGCGACTTTGTTATCTTTTCAGCATACGGGGACCAACAGGCCAGAGGTGTTTTGCTGGTTAAACGTACCCTGGATGCGAGGGTTGACCTTGTCCACGTCGATGTGGCGGTTGATCGTGGCAGATATTGCCGTGAACAATAATTCGTTTCGAGTCGTTGCAGTTTATGCGCCCACCGAGCCGACGGACATTCGCTCGTTCTATCGTCAGTTAGAGTCGTTCCCGGTGGATTCGTCGCGCTTAGTCTTAGTAGGGGACAGGAATGCCATCCTGGACTCCGATATAGACTGGAATGGGGAGCTAATGGGAGGTCATTGAATGATCGTGGCCTGGTTGATCTGATAGGCGATTTCGGTCGTCGATAAATAACGGGTCGATCATTCCAAGGAGCAGATGTGGACATGGACACATAAGTGGCCTTCTACCCGGGTAGATCAGCTACCTGGATAGAATGTTAGTGAGAAGGGCCGATATAGACTTATTAGATTGTCCCACGTTCCACTGGTTACGCCATTCCGACCACACACTCGTCTGTGCCTGGATAGCATTAGATTCTAGGCCTAGAATGGCTGGACACTGGAAGTTCAATCTGTCTTTACGGGACCAACTAACTAATTAAAGTAGTGCAGCGGGAGCTAGTGGAGGCGGTTATTGGGAATATGTGGTGGGAGAGGCTTAAGGATAGGATTAGGTCCTTCACCACCGAGGCTCGCACTAGATAAGGCTAATAAGGTGAAGACTGTCCCGGGCGGCGGCTAGGGGGTATCCGCTGGAGATAGGTTTAACTAGACAGGCTCAGGAGCGGTCGGCTACCGAACGCTACAAGCGTCAGGTAGTTAGGTATGGGTTAAACAAGACGTCTAACGAATCTGTAAACATGGGCGCAGAATTGCGCAAGGAAGAGACCTGTCGAGATTCCGATCGTTACATTCGTGAGTTCAAAACCCCAGAGGGGCGTACTCTGAGAGCGACTGACGATATGTGTGAGGCGTTTCGGCGGTATTTCGAGAGCCGATTTACCAAGGAGCCTGGTCTCCGTGGCGTTGACTTTCGCAGCTATTTGGCTGACTTTCCTCGACTTGAGCCGTCTGAAGCGGTTAGCTGCGAGGGAGAGATCACGGAAGGCGAACACTTGGCATTGAAGAGGACTTGATGGTTTACCCTATGAATTGTACTTGAGGTTGTAGCACATCTCATGCTTCATGAAATTTTTATATATTTTGTATTTAGGAATTTAAAATGTTTATATCATGGGGCGTTTTTTTTTTTTTTGTAGCTTCCCTTGGTGAGTATGTGGTATTGTGGTATATGTAGGATTGAATGGTGATGAATGAGATCTTGTGGTAAATGGAGCAATTGTATTGGATGAATGGATCATGATCATAATTAACTAGGAATAGGATAGTTAGCGAAGACCAGCCTCTCCCCTCTTCCCCTTTCCACCATGTGCTAAAATTATTGCATGTTATATACAGTAATATAATTGGGCTACCGCGTTGGTTGGAGAGGGAGTTATTTTTCTGACTGGTTACGTGCATTGTGATTTGTAAGATAGTACCTGCGAATCAAGTTATCGGCATTTCTTTCTCCCCACGATGTTCGAGTCTGAACTTAGTGAATTATTCTCTGCAGTGTGGAAGTAATCTGCGACAAATATTTCCTTTGCAATCCCAGATCGCTTACAGCTGTTTTCCTTATTTTCCATGATATTTTTGGTGCAATTTGCTTTTTATTTTTAATTTCCCATATATATTTGGAATGAATTATTATTATTATTATTATTATTATTAATTGATTGATTTTAATTTTTGTGTATTGTTACTTTATTAGTAGTAGTAATATTAGTAGTAATAGTTATATTATTATTATTATTATTATTGTTATTTTCTTTTCGCGGGTTGCCTATCTTGTTCGTTTCATTTAAAGTATTGTATTTGTCTAAAGTATTTTACATTACTCTGCGTTGTATAGTGATTTTCCAAGCGAAGCTTAGATGTGGCACAAGGCCGAAAATATGGGGCACCCAGTGAGGATCAAACTCATTACTCAGTTGTAATTGTTCTAGCGAGACAAGCTTGCTAACCATTACACCGCCTCGAGGTGCCCCATTATCTGCGTTGTATATAGTGCATATATTTTCATTTTTCACGGTGGAATTTTACAAAGTATTAGTAACTATGGCATACCTTAAATCAATATTTTTATCATATCTATATATTTTTTATATCTAGCCTTGGTTGGCAGCCACTTTAGGAGAAATACAAATCTGAATTCAGAACTATAGTAATAATAATAATTACCCATGATCACCGAGCCTCGGTAATGATGATTGATTGGTTGATTTGTTTTCTACGGTTTATCAACCATTACAGGTTATTTAAAGCCAGGACATATTTCTTTAGATTTTCATAATTTCTTGTGATAATAATAATGTGAAAATAATTCTAGATGTTATTGAGCGGGAATACTGTTATTTATATCTATTTTATTGTGCCCTTTGTTAATATTATTACTAATTATTTATTATTGATTATTTAATTATTTGTTATTGATTATTATTATTAATATCATTATTATTATTATCTCTATCTATAAAAGCAGGATGTGTGTGTGTGTGTGTGTGTGTGTGTGTGTGTGTGTGTGTGTGTGTGTGTGTGTGTGTGTGTGTGTGCCGAATGCACGGCCGAAATTTTTGACGGATTTGCACCAAACTTTACATGCACATGCTCCAAGTTAGGGGGAAGGCCAAGGCTGACTTTGCATTTCCCAACTCCCATCGATAGTGGAAATAATCGATTTTTTCATGCTTCTACGGCAGTTTTCATGTAGTTTGCGGCCATTTTGTACTGGCCAGAGTGAGATCCTATAGATGGCTGCCACGAATAGGCAGGATGATTCTATTGGCCAGCGTGAGAGCCAACAGCTGACTAACACGAATATTAACTAGCATGCTAGCATGCAAAAAAAATCGATAGCTGCATTCCTCACAAGTGGGGAAAATTTAAATCTGCATAGCACTTTACTTCAATTGGCTCATTCACTTGCTTAAACTCAACGTTGATTCTGATTCCGCAGAACTGGGTTGGGTGTGAAAAGTATTTGTTGTTAACATTCTTTTTTCATTCGGTTTTTCCAGTTACGAGTCCTTTTTTAAAGCTGATCGTTTTGTGTTCATTTTGTTTAGTTCTTTTTTTGTAACAGATTTAATGTTTAGTATACAGCTTATAAAAATTCGCAGTGTGAGATAGGCAAGAAGTAAGGCATGTAGCAACATCAGCACGGCAAAGGGCACTCGTTTAAAGGCAAGGAAGGGCAAAAATATTTTAAGTCAAGTGATAGCGATTGCTCTATGAGTCGTACGATTTTTGAATCAAGCACGGGCAACGCTGGGTCATGCTGCTATATATTATTATTATTTCTTGTGTTTATGCATGGGTATTTGACTTTCATTTTAAAATCAACTGAAAATAATGTTAGGTAAATAAAT